TAGAGTTCTTTTTTACAGGACTAGTTTCAAGTTTCTTTGACCATTTTTCAAGGACATGCTTTATAGATGCTTTACCATCTTGGTTACTTTCCTCTGGACACATTCTGATTATTAGCTTGGCTTATCAAATTAAAATATTCATCCAAGTAGAAGTACCCAACAAAGGATAAACAAAAGGTAATGAAATTCAGGAGAGAGGTTAGAGTTGGAGATGGATTTAAGAGTCACCCTCCTAGAGGTGAGAGTAAAACAATGAGACAAGATGATGTCCCTTAGAGAGAAAGGAAGAAGAAAATTGCAGAGAAATAAATGTTAAACTTTAAAAAGCAAAATGATACTACAAACTCATACTATAACTTGCTAGAAATTACTTGTGTTTTCCCCAGCAGTTGTGGTAACTTTGTGTACAGGGATAAAATTTGGAAATTTTATTGTGCTCATGAAGCTAAGAGACTGTGGGTGAGACAAATCTGGCATTTGGACTGATTTTTATCTAGGTTTTAAGGCATACAAAAACCTATTGTTCATAGTGAACAGAAGAAAAGGATATATAGCCTTTACTATGTAGCACTTTCAAAGCTAATTCTGGATATTTCCAATCTTCCAAGACATTTGAAATTTAAGATCATGAGTATTTCACTTGTAGAGGCCTCAAATAAATTGATTGTTTTATATATGAGGAAAGCAAGGTCCTAGCTTCCTATCAGTGTCATAAAACACTCGGAGGGACACAAAACAAGTGAGATATAGGGAGGTCATTCAGATATTTTTTTTTAAGATTTTTTTATTCGGGAATTGGAGTAGGGGAACAGTGTTGGGGAATTGGAGAAGGGGAACAGCCACATTGTTGTCCTTCAATCTTAGTTGTGGAGGGTGCAGCTAGTTCAGCTCCAAGTCCAGTCGTGCCACTCAGCTCACCGTGCTGTGTTCAATTAGTTGTGGGTGGGCGTAGCCACCATCCCATGTGGGTGTTGAACCCTCAGCCTTTTTGTTAAGAGCATGCACTCTATCTCCTGAGCCACCTAGGCGGCAGCTCAGCTCAAAGTGCCAAGTTCGGTCTTTAGTTGCAGGTGGGCATAACCCACCATTCAAACCAGCAGCCTTATTGTTAAGAGCACGTGCGCTCACCAGCTGAGACATTCTGCCACCTGTTGACAACTCAGCAGCAGCTCACTGGCCCATGTGGATGTGGGAATCGAACCAGTGACCCTGTTGCTCAGAGCTCGTACTCTTGAGCAAGATCTTAACCAACTGAGCCACTTGGCCAGCCCACTGAGATATTTTTAAATCATTAGCAGGAAGGCCAAAGAAACAAATATTAATTTGAATGTCAAGCTCTGTGTTTGTTTGTTTGGTTTTTTTTTGGTTTTTTTTTTTTTAAAGAGTTTTTATTGGGGAATTGGGGGATGGGAACAGACAAGTTGCTGTCCTTTTGTTCTTCAGTCTAGTTTTGGAGGACATTGCTTCACTGGCCCAAGTTGGCACCATCATTGCACTCTTCCCAGGCGAGGCAGATCAATCACTGGCTTCTGGTCGGCTGCTCACTGCGGCTGCTGGCCGCTCACGCTGGCTGCTGGCTACACANACTCACAGAGATACTGAACTTTTAGTTAGAATGAGAAGTTTTTCAAGAGAATTATCAGTAGCTGATGGTAGTTGTGGAGGAAGAGTCCCAAACATGTTCATTTATTCATTCATGCATTCTATATTTGCATGCTCATTCTATATTTGTTAATTGAACCTCTACTATCTGTCAAGCACCAAGACAAATGTAAAAAATGAATAAAACATAGTTCTAGCCTCAGGAGGCTTCCAGTCTATGAGAAGAATGGCATGAAAAACAATAGATTTTATAAAGTGTTTTAGGTGCCATGATACAAGTCTGTACAAGATTTCATGGCATTTAGTTTCAGCTACACAGAGACTTATCAAGGATGTCCCACGTTTCTACCATGATTACAAGTTGTTTTCTTCCATTAAAATCATGGGATTCATAAAGATAGGCCCTCATTCTTAAGCGCAGAGCAATCCAACTCTAATCTGTAGCTCCAACAGAATATAAGCTTTATGGGAAAAGAGAATTTGTTCAATTCATCACCCTGCCCCCAGTACCTAGATCAGTGCCTTGAAAAGAATTGCTATTCAATGAATATATGTTGACTGATGGAATGAATTTGTGGTCAAGAAGAAGACATCATAAATGTTAGGGGTGAAACTTGAATACTTTTTAAGAAATGGGAGGAAAGTGTTTTTCCCAACAAATCCTGGAAATTTCCATTCTGTGCTGTAATTTGTGTAAAATTAAAACCATATTATAGATCCATGTTTCAAGTGAGAGTGTAAACATAGTGATAGCATCGCGCTGAGTCAGGATCATATTCTGGCCCAATCCTGCCATTCCGAAGCTGTGTGATGGCGGGAAGCTTCTTAACCTGTCTAAATCCATTTACTTATGTGTTAAATGGGAATACAACCTATCTCATGTGCCTTGTAGGACTGCTTAAGGATTAAATGATATAATGCTTTTGTGCACCGCCAATATAAATTTTAAAGTATTATGTAACTATAAAATATATACTAACATTAAATATCTCGGTTTTAAATATTACAAGAATGCTTTCCAAAGGCAACTGATTAACCCATTGTTTTCTTTTGTTCGTTTGTTTTTCTCTAGTGCAGTGCCTGGAGATGACCACCAAACGGAAAATAATCGGCCGCCTAGTGCCGTGCCGATGTTTCCGAGGTGAAGAAGAAGTCATCTCGGTTTTAGATTACTCCCACTGCAGCCTTCAGCAGGTGCCAAAAGAGGTCTTCAACTTTGAGCGGACATTAGAGGAGCTTTATCTAGATGCCAACCAAATTGAAGAGCTACCCAAGGTAATTTTTTTTTCAGGCTTTTTAAAGTCTTTCTTTATTCCACATGTGTGGGTTGGTTTTGGTAGTAGATTGGGGGAGGGAGGTTACCCAAGGTANTATCTACTATATTCCATATACTTTGCTGGTCACTGGGAAAATAGTGATTGAACAAACTTATGTACTCTCTAGCATGAATGACAGACATTAAACAAGGAATTGCATCAAGTATGCTGTCTTGTATGATATAAGGGGAAGCAATAGGTGTTTTGGAAACATTCAGTGGAGCACTCTCCCTGAAGAATGTCAATCCAACTAAAACTTAAGGATGCAAAGGCGTTCCCTAGGAGAGGAGTGACCAGCTTCCAAAGACAGTGCAAATGTGACATATTTAAGGAACTGGGAAAAATTAAGTATTGCTTAAATACTTAGTGCAAGAGTGACAATGGGAAAAATGAGGATGGAGACATTGTAAAGACCTTCTGAGATAAGATAGGAAGTTTGAATTTTATCTGGATGATTCACTTATGGGTTTACCTGGGTAGCAGCATTATCAGGTATGTGTTTTAGAAAGATCGTTCGAGCTGCCTGAAGAATAGACATAAAAGTGTAAACGCAAAGGCAAGAAGACCAGTAGAAATCTGTGAGAGAATAGTGACCTAGCTCAGGGTAGAGACCCTGAGGATGGAAAAAAGGGCACAGTTGGAGAGGCTTTTTGAAGGCAAAATTTACTGGATTTGGTCATCTGTTTGATCTCTTGATTTGGGGGGAAGGAGAAAAATGAGTCACAGGTGACTCCCAGTTTTCTACTAGAGAACAAGGAGCAGACCAAAAGATGGAGATATGGAGTCCAGGAAACCAAGGCCCAGCTCAGGAAGGTAACAATGAATTTGTGTGGAAGCCACGCACACTGAGAGAGCGATCTGCCCAGACTGGAGCCAGCAACACCAGGTGCAGGAATGAGCGCCTCCAGAATAAAATGTGGACCTAGCAATTTACCTGATGTGCTTTAACAATTGGAAATATAATTGCTGGGCATTCGACAGAGCTGTTTGAGGATTTGGAAAAAAAAGAAGGATAAATGTGTAGAGAATCAAGCAAATAAAAAATAAAGCAACACAGAAAAGAAAATAAGAGTAAAAAGAAAAAAAAACACAGTGTGCAAATAAACATTAATATCAGCATTAACTACTGATGTAACAAAAATTGGATGTAAATATATCAGGAAGATAAGGAAAAAGTAAGAATGATGATGGTTGTTGTGGAGAGAAATCATATGATTTTTTTTACCTGCCTTAATATGAAATAAATATGCGGTATCTGTAATTTATAAAAAAAAGTAGAAATACATGTGTATTCTATAGAAATATAGAAGAATATACAATAAATAGTAGCTAAAGGAGTTGAAAACAACTACCTCTAGAAGAGGGATTGTATGATGCGAATGACAGGACAAAGAACTGATGTAATGCTTTTACAAAACTAAAAATTAATTTTAAAGGAAGAAAGAGAATTGAGCTGGAAGAGAAAAGCACCAGAGGTTAACCTTTTGGTAGCTCTGACCAAATTATCATACTTCTTTTTGAAAATGGCCCATATGACACACTGATAAATGTAAATATCCAATGCTTTCAGGTAAATTGCAAAGTAACATTTGAGCAAATTAAAGGACGTGATAAGTTAAAAATGTAAATTTTTAAAGGTGGGCCGGTTGATATTTGCTATCTACTCTTCACTAGTTCTTATAATACTAGTTAACTGATTATCACATGTTTTAATGTTATTTTGTTCCTGGTTCCCTCCTTAGTATGTGAAGTAGTTCTAAGTCAGAGGGCATTTACTAATGTTGTCAGAGAG